AGAAATTCTGGAACAAAAATGGAGCATGCAAAAGATAAAAACAAACTCATAAGAGGCATGGGCTTAAAAACGTTGAAGTAGAGGATGGCACGCCTCGTTTGGAGGCCAACAAGCAGCATAAGTTATGTGAGAAAGGTGGGAACACGTAAGGAAAGAGGAGGAATTCGATCAGAAGAGAAGAGGTAGATGTAAGAGAAAGCGGAGGGGAACTCTCTCTCTACCCGCACCTCTTATTTTCCGTTCTTCTTCTTCTCCAGGCAGACACACAGACACCCGTTGGCCCTCGGCGGCCCCCACCCTTCACCCCTTCATTCCTCTTCCCTTCCACTCAAAGCCCTGTCAAACGCCACTTATTAGTTGTGTTGCACCACCCGCTGCCGCGCACTCTGCCAAATGCATTCTCAACTAAACCCCCACCATTTCAGGGAACCTTTTTGAGAAAAGTTTAAGAATTTTATAAAAAACCTAAGAAATTTACTTGTAAGAAACTTATAGTGAGGCTTATGAACTTTGAACTCTTGCGTGGAAAGTCGAATCTAGTATCAGTCTAACACTCCTGGACCTAAAGCTCTGAACAATTTCTCAAGAAAAATTGCGATACGCGGATCGTGTATGATTTTCGTACACGAGAGCATTTATCAAGCTTTAAAAATCCTCAACCCAGCAAATAATGTACTAGTCACAACTGGTCAACTACCCATTTACCTAACTATTGCATAAACCGCCAGGTCAGGCTAAGCCAGGTCAAGACTCTAGAAAGCAAGTCAAGCTTGGCCAAGCCAGGGACAAACCCGATCCTTGTCTGCTAAATTTATTCGCCCTCTACCCCTCATTTCATTTTCACCATTTGGTGTGAAAAAAAAACAAAATGCATCTATACAAAGAACTTTTCTCGACTTTTCTTGAATGCTGAAAGAAAGGGAGAAATTCCTAATCCCATTCACGAGCAAACGCGTCCCTTCTCTTCTCTTCTCTTCCACCACCAAAACATAAACAAAAATTTTGTCGCTTCTGCTATGATACGTATATTTTCACACAAAAATGAAGTTTCATTTGGAAGTGAAAGAAGGCTCTAAGGCATCCCCTCAAGGCTCTAATTGTGAGGAGTAATGGCGCTGGTCATAAGTCATTGGTCAGCTACCACTTCTTTAAGGGGAAATTGGGGAGACACCCCCAATTCAAAGCCAATCATTGGTCTCAAGAGGCGAGAAAAGAAAGTAAAATCCATTAGGAGAAAAGGAGAAGGGTGTCTCTTCATTTCCCTCAATGACATGAAAAGGGACGCATCTTAGCTACCCATTGGTCTTTCCCGAATATGAAAGTACAGGGTGATCCCTAAGCTGTTATGAAATGTCCAGGGACAGACTAGGAAAATCGGCAAAATGTGTAAAATGCTGTAGATCTTAAAATCTATACAGGTGATTCATAGCTAACTTCTGACTGGAGTTGGGCAGCCTTGCGTGCCAAGTTAGTCAGAAATCAGCTGAACATGGATTTGACTTAACCTTGCCCTGATCACAAAGATCGCTGACTGTCAGCTACTTCGTAGAGATTGTATCGATCAAGTATTGTACAACAAATTTAAACAATAACTACCAAAATGCCAATTTTTAGATCATTGGTGCCCTTTGTGGGTGGTTGAATTGCAAATGTTGGGCAAGCAATTGACCGTGGATGATGAAGAAAAGGAAAAGGAAGAAAAAGAAGAAAAGAGAAGTGGGTACTTACACGGAAAGAAGTGGTAGAAGGGAATGTTCTTGGGGAGGGGTGTCTCTGTGTTGGTCTCTCTTCAAATGGACGACGAGCACTCTTCATTAGTTAGCACTTGCCCCCTTTTCCATCCCCTTCTCACTCTCTATAGAGTTCAATTCTTTGGTGTGGACTCGCCGCCCGCTTTTTGACTGACACAATCCACCATTTCATTAGGATGCTCGATCTTTTCGCTTTCCCCGCCACCCACAATTAGTTCTTCTGGTTTGTTCAGCAAGACCAAAAGTTTCAATGCAAATCAAAGGAGAACTTTGTACACTTTGAGGCTCATATCTGCAGTTGTTAGATTTAAAACTCAATTCTTCTGATTAAAAGTGATAGCATATCTTTTGGAGGACTTACGATAGATAATCCTGGTAGCTTCAGCTTGCTTGACTTGGGAAAAGCTTGGCTTACTGTAGAAATGTTAAATTCAAATATGCTATAATGCAGCAAATCTTTTAAATAGTACATGGGGCAATTGATGCAAAAAGTTTTCGTTTAATGCTTGAAAATTGAATGTCAAATCGATTGTAAAGAGAAAAAACATCCAGGAAAAAACAAGAATTCTACTCGTGGTCGTTGAGAATTGAAAACACTGAAACACAACATAAATCGAGTGAATGAATGAAAAAGTTTTGCAGAGAGAAGTGAAAAGTCTCCTTCTTTGGCAGGGCACAACCCCCGAAGGACATCTGCAGAAATGGGTCCCCGGCCACCACTTGGCATCGAGCTGTCGCTAAATGGCACTTTTTCCGGGTGAGGAGGGGCAATCTCTGCCTTCACTCTCGCAACAAAAAAGTAAAGCCACACACAAAAAATGATTGACTACTGCTGACTTGAATAGCCCGAAAAACAAAAAAAAACAAACAAAGTAGAGAAAAGATTTCATTGCTGACTAGTTCCAAAAGTTTACAAAACTGAAAGTTTTTTTTTACGAAAGCTTACGAAACTTTTTACATTTAACTCAACTACTGAAGAATTTGCATTTAACTTCTTACGGCTTAAGACCAGTTCAGTACTCTTTTCCGTAGTATTCCTAGCTTAATCTTTGAAGTCTTTGAAGTGAAATTTTCAAGTACTTACCGTAATACTTGGAACAAAACGAAAAGAAAATAGACTATGTGACAATATAGTGACGCGTTCCATTACAGGCATTACAGGCATTACAGTAACAATCATTAAAAAGTTAATTTCTACTAAGAAACTACGGGAACAAAGGTTTTCATAATTTGCATTCATAAGTGTTTGCTGAAAGTGGCAGTGGACAAATGCGACCTTTTTTTTGCGCACCCGGACATTTGCGCACCTTTTTTTCCACTTAAATTATTTTTCGCGTTTTAAAAAAGCTCTAAAAGCTAATATTAACCAATTTCTATTCCAAAAGTTATTTTTCTAGGTAATTTGAGGGTGTCGAATTCAAATTTTGACATAACAGAGCGTGTGGAACCAATTTGAAAGACAAAACGGCTAGGTCAAATTACAGAAAATTGTTGATTTTTCTCTTTGTATAAATCCGTCCGTTTGTTTCCACAAGCTCTGATATGTCAAAATTTCGATTCTACGCCCTCAAATTACCTAGAAAAATAACTTTTGGAATAGAAATTGGTTAAATTTTAAAAAATTAGCTTTTTAAAGTTTTTATAACCCGGAAAAGTCGGCTGCCCAGCGCTTTGTGGGAAAAATGTGGGCGCCCTTTCGGCCGCCCAAAAAAAGGTCGCATTTGTCCCACTCCCGCAGGTTACCATAAAAGTTAATCCGGATCTTTATATATTTCGGGCAATCCCACAAAACTTAAAGTATTCAGCTAATCAATTAAACATTTAATTGGCAAAAAGGCTTGGTTTTATAGTAGTTTTACTCCATCGCGATTGTTTTAAAGATATTCAGTTAAGAAACTGAACCCAATGGAAGCTAATCAAATGCATACACGTGAAAATTTTTAGCTGATTAACTGAATATCTCCAAAAACATGACGCTTCGCGGGGTATTTAAATGCCAGCCGGTTCAAAAAATTACAGGGTGTCTCAAAAATTTCTTTAATTTTTGTGGCCTTTTGGGCACCTGCCCCCTGACTTTTTGCAACCCTTTTTTTTTTTTACTTTTTTCTTTTCCAAGGAAACGCTGAGCAATAAAGTGTAAGAATAAAATTTATAGTGATCCTAATAGTGTTTATTATGCACCATGATGCTAGTAAAAAGTTTTAATTTTTGGCAAAAATCTCATGGTGGTGACCGTGGTATTCAAAAAAAAAAAAAAAAATTTTTTGAAAAGGGGTCTTTTTTGAGACACCCTGTAAACTCGCATTTTTCTTACAAACTACGTACATTAAGTGTCATAGAAAACTGATTTGAGAAATACAATTTTTATGGTACCCTGCTCCTTTAAGATCCAATAAGTGCTAACAATTCGTCTTCTTTGCCTAATTTTAGTTGCTAGAATAAAATTTATGCAGATTTCGAGGTTGAAATGATAGATGTGCTGTGTTGGTTTATAGCTATGGGTGGAGGGATACCCGAGATTCCCCCAGGGCAAAAATGAATCATTCTCACATGAAAGCTTTCTCTTCTCGTCCAACATCTCTTCTCAAAGATCTATTCACACAGAGAGAGAGAGAGAGTTTCCCCTTCAAATTCGGTAAGAGTGTGAAGGAAAGTAAGCAGCAACATGAAGTACTCTCGTCGAGAAAAGAAACCAATTCAATTTAGGTGCAAAGAAGAACGCTGACGGAAGGAATTTCTTGGCATTTTCACCAAAAAATGAACAGTTTCTTTGCAGAATTTTAAGAATTTTAGATTTTGACCAACCCCGAAGAGTCAGTCCTAGTGCAGAATAGAAAGGATTTTGGTAGAAAATTACCTGACGATACTAGAATATTCAGTTCACACTAGTTTCTAATGTAAATGCAAAGCTGTATTCTAAAAGATGAGTAGTTGATAAATTTCCAAAAAGTAAAACATGAATGAAATTGTCAAAAATCTTCTTGACCTATAATGAGGTCCAATAGCAAATGACCGTCTGGTGTGTGCCTTGTCTTTACCTAAGAGAGCCCCAGCCTTTCCTTCCTTTTTCAACCCAAAGAGTCTCTATCCATCAAGAATTAACCATCTGTGCAAAATGGGAAAATGAGAAAATCCCCGATATGCTAATTAGATGTCCACCATTTCCTCAAGCATCGTTTATTACAAAAAATAAAACATGAACAAAGTAAAACTAACAAAAACAATCAACAAAATCTAAAACAACAATTAAACTAGATATTTCGTTGGTTTAGAAAGTAAATCCTCAGGAATATCTCGAATCAACGAATTTTTGTGTATTCGAGTCAGTAGATTTTTCAACTAAAAAAGGATAGGTAGATTTGAACTTTTCAAAACTTATACCTCATCAATATCACCGTTTTTAGCAGACGCGAGCACCACTCCATCGAAAGTCAAAGGGAGCTTCGGTTGTAAATCCTTTGGTAAATCTTTCCACCAATTTGTCTCTCGTAATGTATCCCGAAGTCGATGTGCACCCTGAAAAGAAACAATGTTTTAGATAAACAGACCCAACAAACCTCAATATCTTTTGCAATATCCAACTTATTTACAAACACCACCGCCGGTTTCCTCGTTATTCGCTTATCGTAACTTTCAAGCTCAATGTTGAGGAGGGCAATCGTTTCAAGAGCATTCCTAAAAATTAAAAATTAAAATAGAGTATTATTAATACCTGAATGGTTCTTCTAGAGAATTCTTCAATTGAAATCCATTTACGTCGATAACCAGGAGCAGTATCCCACAGTATTCGAGATGTTTCAAAAACTGATATCCCTTTCCGCGATTTTGCGAAGCACCCTCGATTAGCCCTAAAAGTTTGATTACTAAATTTTATTTAGAGAAAAATACCTGGCAAATCTGCTAATGTCAATGTGAAAGGCTCCTCTTCCTCAGGAATGACCTTATTTGGACTCCAAAAACCAATCTAAAATTAAGGTTTGGTATTCAAAAGTGTTATAAATGGCTAAGCTAGTTAAAACTAGTAAAGTAAACTTGTAAAAACAAAATTTGTTTTCTTAAAAACAGAAAAATTAAAAAACTATTTTCTTAAAAACAGAACGCTTTATGTCGCAATAAAACTTCACTAACCATTTGCTTTTAAAACTCAATTGAGCAAATCCAAAGTCAAACCTGTGGTTTCAAGGTAGTAAACGGATATGGCGCAATCTTGACCGATTTCCTTGGCAGAAATGCTTGCAAAAGAGTTGATTTTCCAGCATTCGGGAACCCAACAAGTCCAATGTTTGGTCGTAATTTCAGATGTACCGTCACAGCGACTTGTTCGCCTTTCTGAGGTCTAGCAAGAGTCAATTAAAATATAAAAAATAAAAAATTGATCTCACATAAAACCATTTCCCGAATGCCCTCCTTCGCCTCCACGAGCAATTAATATCCGTTGATGCACTCGATGGGGTCTTGCAAGTAAAAGATTTCGCTCCTCTTCAACGATTTCCACGCCCAAAGGAATTGGTAGCACCTAATACATACGAACATTAGTTGTTAAACATTTAAAACCAACCAAGTCATTTCCCTTTTCTCCATTGAGTCTCGTTTGAATGCTCGGCAGTCCATTTTCCGCTTTGGCGACCATCTTTCCATTTTTGAATGCTTTCGCTGTAGGAAACGCGGTGAACGCCATGTCGGGACGAGTGACGAAATACACATTACCTCCACTGCCACCAACGCCGTTGTACCTAAAAAATGTATTTGAGGAAAAGCGAAACAAAATAAGTTAAAAATGAATAAACCTAGCTAATCCGGTGCCACCATTGCCCGCTTTTATCGAGACGCGATATCGATCAACGTTGACGACATTTTGATCCTGTGAGATGATCTTTTGGATGTGTTTGATCGAATTCCTCAGATGGTTTGTGTACCTCATCGCATGCGAATCTAAAGTAGAAAGAATTAATATTGAAAACACCATGAAAAATCCAAGTTCAAAATCCAAGTCAAAAAAAAACTTAATGGCAGACAAAAGAAGGAAAAATCTTGCTTACGGTCTTAAGATATTCAGCTGATTAACTGAATATCTAAATTGCTTTTCCAATGCAAAATTGGCAAAATAACTCTGTACCGGATTTTTTCACACTTTAATGAGTGAGTAAAGGGGAAAGGGTTCTTTTCCAATATCGGGGGAGCGGTCCGATTATCGGGGGAGCGGAAGGAAAATCGGGGGAGCGAAAGGAAAACCGGGGGAGCAAATTTTGCCCCCTCGAAAAATGCATTTCTGGGACTTTTATTTTTAAAAAAAAAAAAAAAAAAAAAACTAAAAAACCAAAACACCCCTATCCTCTTAAACTTCCCTAAAAAAAAAAAAAAAAAAAAAAAAAAAAAAAAAAAAAAAAAAACCAAAAAAAAAAAAAAAAAAAAAAAAAAAAAAAAAAAAAAAAAAAAAAAAAAAAAAAAAAAAACCTTTTCTTTCTAAAAAAAAAAAAAAAAAAAAAGTATTAAAATGGGGTTTTTTGTGGGGGGGGGGTGTTTTTTTTTTGTTTTTTTTTTTTTTTTTTTTTTTTTTTTTTCTTGGCCCCTTTTTTTTGTTTAACTGCAACGTTTTTTTTAAAACTTTAACGACGGTGCGCTTCTCCGATACTTGTGCGTTCAAGGAATCGACGGCAATCGATTATTTCGTCACCAAAGGAGTCATCCAGTCGTGGATTTGCTCCCCGATTTTGAAAAGTTAGTTTTTTTTTTTTTTTTTTTTTTTTTTTTTTGTTTTTTTTTTTTTTTTTTTTTTTTTTTTTTTTTTTTTTTTTTTGTTTTTTTTTTTTTTTTTTTTTTTTTTTTTTTTTTTTTTTTTTTTTTTTTTTTTTTTTTTTTTTTTTTTTTTTTTTTTTTTTTTTTTTTTTTGAGCGTTCGGCAAAAGAGAGAAGGCGACCGATAGGGAAGGTAGAGGTAGGTTTGGTGTTAGATATTTAAGTCACTTTTGTGATCTAATATAAAGGTTGTGAGAATAACGGGTAATTCGCGGATTTTATGGCGGTAGTTTGTATAATATAGGACATATGTAGCGCTGCCAAAATTTGCTCCCCCGATTTTCCTTTCGCTCGGAGAAGCGCATCGTCGTTAAAGTTTAAAAAAAACGTTGCAGTTAAAATACAGTCCCGGAAATGCGTTTTTCGAGGGGGCAAAATTTGCTGCCCCGATTTTTCTTTCGCTACCCCGATAATCCTTCCGCTCCCCCGATATTGGAAAAGTACCGGGAAAAGTTGGTTAGTCGTATTTCTATGTCACATGCCCACAATCAACAAGCGTCTTTAGCCCAAACTCGTACAGAAATTTGGAAGATTTTCCTTACATAATAGTCTCTCTTTGGCCTTTTTTTTTTACGATAAACAACGTCTATTTTTTATTTTTTTTTATTAAATAAACTTCAGAGCCAAATGAGCATCTCATTCCATCGGAAGGTTCGCCTAGCGGTGGCAACTCTCAACAATTGGGCACTCGATTTTCAAGGAAACTATGAAAGAATCAAGAAAAGTGAGTGGATTTTTAAAAAGCTGCAACAGCATTGGTTGTTTTGGGGAAATTTTGCTGACCGAAGATTTTGAAATTGAAAAAAGCACATAAGAGAAATCCAAAATGAACTAAACTTCTGTTAGCTGGGAAAACAAAATGCTATTTAGCTTGTGAGGAAGCTCACAGATTGGGCGCCCGTCTTCGTGTCGGTCCCGAACTCGAAATTCCTGGATATGGGTGAGACGATCACATTGCTAGTTAATCTCTACAATGATTTGGTGTCAAATATAAACCACTGGTCTACCGGATCCATTTTCTGTTTTATTTAAATCAAAAACCAATTTCTAACCACCATTCATTCAGTTGTGCTGATCATTTCTTCGAACTTGACACCGAGTTACACTCTTGGGAAATCCTGAAGCGTCTCGTTCAGGATTCATTGGCAGTTCGTTAAAAAAATCTCGTTTTTGAATTTTAAAAATAATTCAGTGGCCAACTCTTGTGGTTGTGACTGGAATGCCGATTCGACGAGATGGTCTCCTCTACAATTGTTGTGTCGCGTTTTCTAATGGGTAACAATAAATTATAAACAGTTAATACTACTCAATTTCCAGAAAACTGCTACTCATTCGGCCGAAAATCACTCTCTGTGATGATGATGTTTACCGAGAGTCAAGGTACAATAATCTCTGCGTTTTCAAAACGTGTCAACTTTCAAAAAAATACCATTTTGTTTCAGATGGTTTGTGCGATGGAACCAACGAGGAGTGACCGAAACACTGAAGATTCTCCCAGAATTCAGATTCAACGAGGAAGAGGTGCCATTTGGAGATGGAGTCCTTCGAACAGTCGACAATGTCACCATCGGATTTGAGATTTGTGAGGAATTGTGGACAGCGAACAGGTTATCCAGTAAATTCCACGAATTCCATTGAAAGTTTTTACTATTAGCTCCCATGTGCATCTTGGACTTCGTGGTGTCGATATCATTGTGAATAGCTCGGGAAGTCATCATATTTTGGGGAAAAGTTGTTATCGCTTGAATCAACTCATTCTCGGATCAACTGGAAAAGTGAGAGAATGAAATAATTTGCATAAAATCAGTTGCATGCTAGGTTGGTGGCGTCTATTTATTTGCAAATCATCGAGGCTGTGACGGAGATCGAGTGTATTACGGTAAATACATCATAAATTTAAATAAATAAAAAATATTTCTAGATGGAATGAGCAGTATCTCACAGAATGGAAAACTTTATGCTCAAATTAACCAATTTGACATCGAGGATACGGTAATTTCACGCTAAACTGCTGAAATATGGAAATTTTTAGTGCCTTGCAACAGCTTTGATCGATCTGAATCGTAATGTCACTTATCGATCACGACTTGCGAGTATGAGAAATGAGGTTTGTCAGGAATGAAACCTTTTCTAAAAGATGTAAAAAAACTAGAGTAATCCAGAAAACCGTAATTTTCCAGGCAGCTTCTCGTCCATTCCTTTCGTCAACGACCATTGAGAACACTCTAATTGATCATGAACTTGATCCAACTGAATCACTGACTGAACCAATCGTAACTAGGTAGAAAAGTCAAGAAACTATCGGCTAAGTGTTGATTTCAGACAGAAAAGCCCAACTGAAGAGCTTTGTGAGGGACCGCCAGCCTGGCTTTGGCATTATTTGAGAAGAAGCAAAGCGGTAACTAATTGCTAGACAAAGATTAGCTCTTGAAATCTCAGGCTGGTTTCTTTTTACCGCTTTCCGGTGGCTCTGACTCTTCAGCAGTGGCTGTAATGGTTCGTTTAATGTGTGACAAGGTGTGTGCTGCAGTGAAAAATCGACGACTCACTGACGGTAATTTGGGAGGGAAAATTGTTGCCGTAATACCTGTAATAGTAGCACCCCCCCCCCCCCCCCTAATGACGTACAGTTTCGTAGTCGCTAAAGTATATCATTTTTCTGAACGCGCCCAGATCTTTCTAAAGAAACTGTTATTACCAAAAAATTCTTTGTTTCAAGTACTATCTTTTGATATCTAAGCGCACATTTTTCGTCGAAATAGCGCAGAGAAGCGAGCCTCACAAAATTATGTGTTAGACTACGCGATCGTACGGAGATGCTACTATTACAGGTATTACTATGTTTAGATAAGAAAACTGCGAGCTTAAGGGCAATTTTTGGTCCGACTGGGCATTTAAACGTTTTTGCGCCATGTTTTTCAAGATTTTCTGTTAATCAGCTGGAAATTTCCACTTGTGTATTCAGCTGATTAACTGAAGATCTTAACATAAGAATTAATTGCTATGTTCACATAGGTGGAGACGATCCAGCTTATTATCTGAATGGGAAACTCGTGGGAGAAGATCCGGCTGCACTTTGCAATCAAGTTTACTTAAAATAATGCTCAAGAAAAAGAATTTAAGATTCTTCACACATGCTACATGGCCAGTGAGCATTCAAGTACCGAGACTCGAGCTTGTGCCGATGGACTCGCGAAACAAATTAATTGCTCGCATTCGGGGTAGTTTACTTAGTGATCTAGGAATCCAAATAAAATTGTAACCTCTTTCTAATAACTGCTAAATGATTGAAATTTCCGATCAAGTATTGGTAATCAGAAAACAACTTTAGATTGTTCATCGATACCGCAGTGAGCGCCTTGTTGGGCATTTTCAAACTTGCCTACAACTTCATGCCCAGCTTCACGGTTTTTTTTCTAACTGAAGTGAATATCCATTTGAATTCAGAGTGTCGATAATCGAGAATCGATGGCTTTACAAAATGTGCAAGCTCGGGTGCGAATGGTTCTCGCGTACCTTTGTGCTCAATTAGCTTTGGCGGCTCGTGGATCACCGGGAGGGTTACTTGTTCTTGGAACGGCTAATGTCGATGAAAGGTGGGCAATGTAAAGAACGTCTATCAAAATATGAACACTTTTGATTTCAATACAGAGATATTTCCTGTATAAAACTGTTCAAATCAACCTATCAAGGAAACCTGAAAGTGAGCTAACAGCTAAGCAGATCAAGCAATTGCTTCACAAAAGTAAAAGCAATTACCTGAATTTTCCTGAATTGACTCTGATTTTCTAATTTCAGTCTTGTTGGCTATCTGACAAAATACGATTGCTCATCAGCGGATATCAACCCGATTGGCTCGATTTGTAAGACGGATTTGAGACTTTTCCTCAACCACGCATACGACAATTTCGGATTGACGGCACTGCGATAGTAAGTTGATTTAAGAAAAAAGATAAAAAGTGTTAAAGCATGGAAGTACATCCATTTTGGTTCTTCTCGGAAATCCGGGTCTTTTCAAAGAACACCACGCCAGTCACTTCACACAGCGATTTTTATTTTGTTCTGTAAATGATTCCCAAATGAGATTTAATGTTAAAAATTTGTGGTTTTCAAGGTTGTAAAAACTATTGGCGGAATTTGTTTTAACCATTTGTCCCAAGAGAATCGAATTGGCTTTGGGTTTTGCATATGATAGCTTATCACAATGAAAAGACCCGGATTTCTGAGAAGAACCGCCATTTTATCTATATAATAAAAATATACAGTATGAAAAGTGTATCAAAAAAGGTTTCAGTGTCATCGACGCAGCGCCAACCGCTGAACTTCGGCCACTCGTTGAAGGGAAAATCGCTCAAACTGATGAGGTAAAGAAAAGATAAAAAGCTGGGAACATTGATCATAGATTAATATATTGGATATTTCTATTCTAGAAATTTTAGGAAGATATCGGATTAACATATGAAGAGTTGTCGATTGTGGGAAAGCTGAGAAAGCCGGGATGCATGGGCCCATATGCAATGTTTAACGCGTTGATCTCGATGTGGCATAACAAGTACACATATGATGAGGTAACAAAGTGTTTATAAGCCTAAAATTTTGAAGGTATAATTCAGATTGCCGAGAAAACGATTCTCTTCTATAGACGATATGCCATCAATCGCCATAAGGCCACCGTATCGACACCGGGTATATAAAAATTATTGATTTTTTTTCAAACCAACTCTTCAGCTTATCATGCCGAATCGTACAGCTGTGATGATCATCGGAATGATCATCGACCTTTTCTCTATCCTGATTTTCAATATCAATTTGAGCTCATCAGAAAGAAGGCTCAAGAGCTCAAAGGGAAAAAGCCACGCAATTAGAGCATAATTGATCTATCTATCTATCTATGATTAGATGAATAAAGATTTACGGTTCGGAATTTGGTAATTTGAAGATTTTTGGATTAAACAATTAAAGCTTTATCTGTTTTATCTTTTTTCTGTGTTACTACTTTACTTATTCAATCCAATTACTTACTTAGCAATTCATTGAATTTTGGCTAAACTTGCCTGAGTTTGAATATTCTGCAATAAATTGTCATTATTGATTTTTCTATCTAATCCTATTTGCCTAGTTGCAATTGGCTTCTACTGTAATCACTTTATCAATATAAAGTTCAGATAATTAACTTATCAGGTTTAATTACCCAAGTTTGAGGCGTGTCACCGCAAGATGATCAATCGCAATGCGATGTCTCATCCAGCGCCGGTAGCCCTAAATGGTCGTCATGGCGGAAACAAGTGGACCGAAGTGGGACCAAACAAACGGGATGAACCATCTCATCGATCCACCTTGCGCTCACTCAACCATCCATCTCATCCTCTTTCTCCACCAACAATAATTGTGCCATCATTCGTCTCCTCTGTTGAGTTTGCGAAATCACTTAGCTCCGACTACCACATCGTCATTGATGGTCTACCCGAGGTTATCCCTTCTCTTCCCTTTTCACCTATGTTAAGGAATTACGACCGGTTGATGTTAGAAAATTTTGTTTTTTTGCCTGGTACGGAATTGATGGTATCATACTACATTCATATCGCATGGGTGTCTTCAACAAGTTTAAGCCCCGTCCTATGAAGGTAATCGTCGCCTCTTCACATACTGTCTCAAATGTGATCTCTTCTTTCAAAAGATTCGGATCCTGGTTTCTGCCGTGGACTTATCGATTCATTCAAATCAGGCATTCCGATCCAACAAAATTCAAGGAAGAAAATAGAGATTTGCAAAAAGAAAAATTTTCTCTAAAGATGCCATGAAAAATTGCACTACGAGGAAAACAATGGATTGTGATGTCCTCAAAACTAAAATTGATGTTGCGACACAAGTTGATGAAGAAGCTATCGAAATCGCTGCAGACAAAAGGAATTTAGCCTCGTGCAACTCAGTCATCTCCGTTTCCGAGAAGAAGCGAGGAAGGCCAAAAGGATCTGGGAAGAATGATAAAGGAAAACAGTCTTGAAGTAGCCAATGGAGTGAAAAATGGCCATGGATCTTTTGTGGAGCGCAAAATTGTATCCAGAAATGGGACCGGAGGAGCGATCATCGCAAAGTTGCCTACCACGAACACGCCGAACACGAGCCCAGCAGCAAAATTTACCAGGATGGAATCAAGACTCTCCGCTCCCTCTAGAAATCGACTCGCCCACTTCAGGATAAGCTGGAAACATTTCCCCCCGTAACGACTGTTTCGTTTCTCTTTGCAAATGTTGACTCAATAATTTCACAAAAACGTCTTAGTTATGTGCAATTTTTGTCCAGATCTCTCTCTTACGATGTTCTTGCCTTTTGTGAGACTTGGCTGACTGAAAACACCACATCTTCTATCTTAGATCCCGCCTCTAACTATTCCATAATTCGTTGTGACCGTATCTTTAATGATATCAAAGTTCGAGGTGGTGGTGTTATCCTATTCATTCGCCGTTCTTATAACTTTATCCCTGTTACTAGTCAATCAGTCTCAGGTTGCGAGATAATCATGGTTGATATATTCGCTCATTCAGATTCCCCCTCGCGTATCTTTATTGTTTATCGTCTCCCACATGTTAACAACCAGGGCTCTTTTCATCTTTTTACATTTCTTGAAGATTACCAAGTCATCCAAATTTCCTTCTTGGCGATTTTAATTTTCCTTTAACGGTTTCTCTAGGACTTTTACCTAATTTATCACGTTTTCCACATTTAGAAAACTTCCTGTCAGCCAATAGCTTAGAAATTTTAAACAAATTCTCTACTTTCAGAAAAAGTTCGCATATTTTAGACCTAGTTTTAACCGATTCCCCTCATTTAATTTCAGCCCTCCCTTTGGTGGTGCCGACCATTTTTCTGTCTTAATTTAATTCTGCATCATTTTACCTCTCTAAAAGGACCGGATGATGGTAACCGTGCCTTTTGGGAGAGGTAATTTCGGTGCTGTCTGTCTTTCTTTAGCGCTCTACAATGCAAGGTTTCTTCCCCGATTAGAGATGGACATCAACGAGTGTTATGCTGACTTCTTTGAAGAGCTGTGGGACGAAAATGTACCTATTTCAACCAGGTCTACCTTTTCTTACCCCAGTCACATATCTCGAGCTAGGCAAAGGTTAGAAACAGCTTGGCGTTATCGCGATTCCCCCATTACGCATATCTAGAAAACAAGCTAACTAAGTTTGTCAAGAAATTTGAGGCCAATATTGAACGGAAAGCCGTTTTTAGTCCTAGTCCCAAAGCTTTTTACTCATACGTCTATTCTAAGATTAACCCAAACCACGATTCCTCTATTAAATGTATATTTGACCCCCTTCGCAACTCGTTGATTTTCGAAAATCACAAAATTGCTAATTCCTTTGCTCAATATTTCTCCAGTGTTTTTGTAGTTGACGATGGTAGTTGCATCCTGCTCTTCCCGCCCCAGCACATACTTGCGCAGCCCTAATCGTCACACCAAGACTTGTCGAAACAGCAATTAGTAAGCTTAGCAATAAGATTTCTTACACTCCAGACGGAATTCCCTCTTTTGTTATACGGAAAACTAAGTTTCAAATATCACCACTACTTGCTAAACTTTTTAATATGTCACTTCTAACGGCTAAGATCCCTAAATTTTGGAAAGACTCAACGATTTCGCCACTTTTTAAGAAAGGAGATCGGAACGCGCTTGCAAATTATAGACCCATCGCGCTCACCTACTCCATTTGTAAAGTCTTAGAAATAATTATTCGCGACCACATTATGCATTATCTAAATGAACATAATCTAATTGATAAAAATCAACTCGGCTTTCGTAAAAACCGCTCTACCTCCGACCAGCTAGTTCTCTGTGCGCATGACTGGCTTCTAGCTAAAGCCAAAAACGATCAAACTAGCTGCGTTTTCATTGATTTTTCCAAAGCATTCGATTCTGTTAATCATAGATTTTTAATCGCCAAACTAAATTCACTAGGTCTCCCCATATCCATCACTATTTGGATTGCAAATTGGCTTACAGAAATGACTTTTCGCGTCCGCTTAGGCTCTACCTTTTCGAATGACTTCCCCATTAGTAGTGGAGTGCCCCAAGGGAGGGTTCTTGGTCCTCTTCTTTTCCTTATTTATATTAATGACATTAACAGTTCGATCTCCCTAGGCACAAAGTCCGACTCTACGCCGATGACCTTAAAATTTATAGGGTACTTCCGTTCCAGAGCCCCATTCCTGATTTTAATCTTCTCCAGAAGGATCTTGATTCGATCCTTCTGTGGAGTAAATTTTGGAAACTTAACATTGCGCCGGACAAATGGAAACACGTTACATTTGGTTCATTACATATCCCTTTAAATTTGGAGGACCTACAATTACTACAAGGATTGACCGATGATCCTGTAAAAGATCTTGGTATACTGTTAGTTCCCTCTCTAAAATTTGATCCTCACATAAACTACATTTCCAAAAAAAGCTTCTAGAATTTCTAACATAATTTTTCGCGCCATTTGTTTCCCTAAAATCGCAACTTATCGCAGGGCTTTTATAACCTATTGCCGGCCTTGGCTCGAGTATGCCACCATCGTATGGTCACCTTCCATTAAGAAACTTATCACCTTGGTTGAAAATGTCCAACGGCGTTTCACTAAAAAGCATACACTTCTTGTTTCCCTTCTTCTCTTATTCCAAATTATGAGACTAGACTTATAGTTTTTGATTTAAAACCCCTTTTATATCGCCGTATTTACTTCGATCTTATTTTTTGCTATAAAATTCTTTTCCACCCTAAGTCGCATCCAGAATTTCAAAGCCTCTTGAAAATTGTGGAAATTCCTAGAAGTACACGTAGTCATCCTTATCAAATTTCGGTCGGTTCTCATCCTCTTCATCTTTCCCTTTATAATTCTTTTGCGAACCGTATTAGTAGGGTTTGGAATAAGCTCCCGTCTGGTATCTTCTCGTCTGTAGGAAAATTCAAAGTATCTGTAAACGAATTAGATCTTATTGCCATGTCAAATCTGCCTTATATTTAATCTTTTTGTACCTGTGTTTCCGAACTGTCTTACTGTAATATTTTTAGTTTTCTCTCTTTTTTGTGAAAGTATTTTAGCAATATGTTATATGCGGTTATGATTATCTGATTCGCTTCTATTCGCCCCTGAATAAAGCGTATATATATATTTTTTTTTTTTTTTTTTTTTTTTTTTTTTTTTTTTTTTTTATATAAGTTACAGTATTCGAATGGATTCAAATCCCGTACGAGTCGTTGAGTTCTACTCTGGCATTGGCGGGATGCACTATGCACTGAAACGTAACTTTCAATTAAACTCTATTTTTATAGTTTTTATAAATCTAGGTTCGGGATTCTCATTCAAAGTCATTGCCGCAATTGACATCAATACAACGGCCAATCAAATTTATGCACACAATTTCCCCGAAACTCAACTCCTTCAAAATAACATTGAAGTCTTTTAAAAAATAAGTTGAATTGTATAAAATGATTTTAGGCAATATCTGTGCAACAATTGGACAAGTTTGAGGCTGATTTGTGGACGATGAGCCCTCCATGTCAACCGTTTACACAAAAAGGGCGACAATTAGGGAGCAGAGGATCGTCGATGTGACTCATTGAAGGAATTACTGCGAAAGATTGCTTTAATGAACAAACCACCAAGGTTAGTAGAATCGAGTTGGCCGTATAAAGTTCCAGCTTTAGACATGTTTTTGTCGAAAACGTGGTCGGCTTTGAAACTTCAACTGTACATGCGGATCTCTTGGAGTGTCTACGGGGAATGGGATATGGGGTAAAGGTGGGGAAATATAGTATACTAAAAAGTTCTTTCAAACTTCTTTGAAAGATAACAAGCTTTAGGAATATATCCTCTCCCCAATGCAATTTGGAATCCCGAATACTCGCCCAAGATATTACTGCTTGACCTCATTGCAATCTTCAAGCTCGCATTCCACATCGACAATTTTGAAAACTCACAAAAGTTGTGTTGAGGAAATTGCTGGCATTGAAGATTTTATTGAGAAAGGAGTCGATAACTCATCTTTGATTTTGGATTATCAAGAACTGAATAGGTAAAGTTTTTCAAAACTGTTTATCGAAGTCATTCTTAGATTTGCCTCTTCTATCGATGCTGTGAGTTCAAACTCAAGACGATCTGCCTGTTTCACCAAATCATATGGTGTTTATAAGACGGGATGTGGTTCGTATTTTTACGAGTGATGAAAATATGGTTTGATTCACAATGAAATATTGGTATATGCAAAATTTAGATTGAAGAAAATCGAATCTTGTCAAGTGCTATCGAAAATGCAAAAAGTCCGGCTATTGTCACCAAGAGAGGTTCGTGGATAAAAAGACTCATAAACTTTTAAGCATTTGCCAATTTCAGTCCAAGAAGTACTAAAGTTCAAGAGGTTACGGTAGTAGATTACGGTAGTATTTACCGTACCGTAACTATTTCCATTTCCAAGTTCAGTTCTAATAAAGGTAAACAACCTATTACAGCAAGCCTTTCAGGTAGCTAACCTGATGTGTTTTCCCGAAGAGTTCACTTGGCCTCATTCTACAACTTCCAAACAATTATACAGAACCCTTGGAAATTCTGTCAATGTTCTAGTTGTTGCTAAATTGATCGAAGAAATTTTAACAGGATTTAACGAATGAATTTTGAAATTTCCTCAGTCGATAGTCGATAAATTTTTCCTCAATTTCCTCAACTATACTTTTTTGGTGACGTTCTAACGGGTTTTAATAAATGGTTCAATTTTCTTGCAACAGTTTCAGCTGATAACACCTCATTAATACCACGCATTTAAAATTTCTTTCAAAAGACAACCAATTGAGAAATCTTGTTCAATAGCAATAAGTATTGCTGATTAGAGGAATGGAAAGGATTTCCCCATTTTCTCTCCTGTCGTGTTCGACTCGTTTCCCTAATATGGGTGTGGGTGTCCTTGAGCGGAGTTCCCCTCTATTCATCCATACACTCATCCAACAACACTAATGTGCAATTTTCTCGGTATCCAATCCTCCTATTACCCATCTAATTCTAGTTTCGATTCTAATTTGAGCGCGATATTACATTATCCAAAAATTCCCCAGTTTTTTTTTCCGATGGTTAATTGCTCAAGCTTTTTGTAGGTCATTTTTAGGCAATTATACTGAACAAATCAGCTGTTAACAAATTAAAATTATTCAGTGATCAGATCCCAAAGAAAAACTCTCAGAAATAGAGCCATTTCAATGGGATTGGTGCAATCACATGGCGCGATCTTTCGCGAGCGCTCTTTTCTCTACCAATTAGTCAATCTTAACCCAAAAATGGTGGTGACAGTGCGGTCGCACCTTGAAAAATGGGCAACCGGTTGAGAATAGGGGTGTGCGGCAAAGAGGGGGACAATCTGCGAACGAGCGAAAGAAAGATGGGTGAAATTTCGACGGGTGATTGATGGTCAACGCTTCGTCAGTCATTTAGTCACCCCAAAATCTCAACCCCTGCTCGACATTTGCTGGGCTTTATTTTTCTCTTTATCAGTTCTATAAATATTCAGCCATTCGGTTAAAAACTATTTTAGAATGAGCAATGACACGAATCATTAAATAACTCTATTTGATTGAATTTAAAATTCAATGCAATAGCTGAATATCTTATTCTGGTTCCTTCATTATATAGCACTTTTTGGAGCAACCTTTTTTATTCTTCCAAGTGACACTTTTGAAATGACAACTTGCTAAACGCGTGCAGCTTTGTGTAAAGCGTTGATTGTGATCGATCTTTTTCTCACTCGTTTTGCTTCTTGGACACTCTTGGTTCGTGGGTTTCTTTTAGTTTTGAAATTAAAAGATTGTTAAAGGGGCTGCCCGGAGACGAAATAAGGCTAATTGCCAGATTTCCTTTGGTTTGCGTGTCATTTTGTAGCGCCTGAGAGTAGGGAAAGGGAAACGGGGACGTCTGAATCAATAACGAAACGATGCGCACAGAACCCACAGCACTTGGCCCAAAGCAAAAATTTTGCAGAAAGCTAATTTCTGGTGAATTTTTGCTGTAAGATTGTCTTCCAGCAACCGTTTTTGTAAGCAATTCGGCACTTGTAAAACTACCTCATCCTGTGAAAAATCAATGATGGGCGGAACAATGCTCGGTTGTGCTTTTTCCGTTCCTCCGTCGCCCCATCCCCTTTCTCCCAATGCTTCTTGCTATATTTGTTCGAAGATTAAATTCCTCGTCGGTTCTTCACACTTTGGTGTTATGAAATATTTTTCGAGCTTTTCTCAAGTTAGCGAAGAAATCATGGCAGCACGTAGTTTAATAGCCGAGTGATTATTTCAACAGTTTTTGTATTTAGTTTCGCACCCTATTGATCAAGGCTATGATGAAATTAATGACTCATGGCTTACCCAATCGGAGACCATGTTGATATTTCTGTATTCTGTGAATACCAAGCTGACGAAGGCTTCTGAGGTGGTGGCTATCCTGCCCCTTTTCAATTTTTTTTCATACGGACTGAGGGATAGAAGAGTTCAGTTCATTATGTTGTGCGGCGAGTTTGAGTTTGCTCTTTGGGGCTCGAGTTGCATCCACTTGATTCACCGGATACCCACTTGAGATGCGGCCGACACCCACAGCACTCACGGGGATTGATCGACTCTCCTTTAATTAGAGTCCCTGTCATTAGTTGAAATAAATCAAAAATTTATTTTTTAAAAATTCCTACAGTTTCCAATGATTTCAAGGTCTTTTACTGTTAAAGGGCACTCTTGCGTATCTAACTTTATAATGGAGCCTGAGAATGCGCGTTGTAGCGGTTGTTGGAACGGGTTTTGTTATCGATTTGGCTATTTCACTGAACTCTTCAGCATTTTTGGTTAGAAAGCCCACTCCTTTCTGTCCTTGTTGGTTCATATTTTATGCTGCCGTCCCTTGAGTCATTCTTCCCGTCTTGTGCTGACGGCCTCCTTTCGTGTTTAGGGGCCAAGGAAAGCTGTCCCGGATATTGGATTCTACAAGGCCTCCCATGGGGGCTTCTCTCTTCTTAAAGTGATTTCTTCGGATCCTTTCCAGTGTTTTGTAAAAAGCATCGATTTTCTAGACCTCAGCGCTCGTAGCTTTCCCCATGTGTTTTATGGATGACTGGCTAGCCATCTGGAGCGCATGTTTTTATGGAAAGATGCGCGTATGGATAGTTGTTACGGGGCTATAAGAAAGCGCCAATGAAAATTCCACCCTGTCTACTAAAAGGCTCTTACGTTTGTTGTTGAAAATCTTGTATATTGTTTTCATTTATTTAACGCATCGTATCTTTTTTATGCTTAATCAATTTAGCATTCTTAGGTAAAACTCGAAATGTCGCGCAAATCAAGCAGCAGTGAAGAAGATCCAGGAGCTCGCCCGTCAGCGTCTCGATTCTCAAAGATAAAGGAACTAAGGTCAGATATTTGGGAGTATAAATGTTAATCATTAATTAGGCCAGATCAAGAACCTGTTTACGTTTTATTACAAGAACTTTGGAGTTTTGAAATGGCTTGGATTAATTCGGCAAATCCCCAAAATCTGTTTAGTAATCTAATTTAGGTGCAATTGATGCTAAAAGCGCATGGTCTTAAGAAGCGCAAAAGCTTATTGAACAGCAGTACCGATCTCAAAGCAAGGTACAGCTCTAATAAAAATCTTTATAAATTTGCTTTTTTTAGCCTCTTCCCATCATCACGTTTGCCTACAATGGACGCGTCACCAAGTTTGAGATACTTCTCGCAGCCTGCCTTCAACAGAGGTAACCTATTTCTTTGTAAATTTTATTTGCCTTTGGTGTTTGGTGACGTAAGACTTCTGTGCCTTTTTATGCCCACTATCCTGATTCATAACGTGATAGGTACAAACGGCAAAAGGAAAAGAAAGGAAAACGAGAACCGAACGGAAACTATTTGTTTGCGACAATTAAACAATTCCATCACAAAAGAATCCGGATAGCGTGGAGTTTGAGGTATTTTATGTGTGCTTTTGTGACCTGTACGTTTCCTTATACTAGAGTCTGTTTAATTTAAATCTACTGAACAAACTGATTGAAGTTAGAATTTTAGATTCTGGAACTAGCTTCTGAGAGTGCTTCATTTTGATGTAAAGTCCAGGTGTAGGAGCAATTGCTTGAATTGAACAGGAATTGAGGTCATAGTGAAAGTGAATGATTTGAACAACAATTGAAAAGAATTCTCGGTGAGTGGTTATTTTGGTTATGAGCTTAATATTAGTGTTACCTGAGTTCCAAATGTAGATCTACGAATGGAAGTATCGACGTCACGCGCAGACGAACCATAGTAAGAATCTTTGATGCTACTTTCTCTCTATCTTGTAAGGCCCGGGTATACCCATCAACACATGTGATCTTTATCATTTTCCCAGCAAGTGTCGTGACCTATGCTATAAAAGCCAATGATTGTGTCAGTTGGAGCCTCAACGCTCATTTATACTTAAATTCAGTAAAAATAGATATCTTGATCCCTCCCTGTTTGTCTGCTCATTTTGCCATTTCTCATTTTGTTTCTCATGTCTCAGTTCCCCGTTCTCCGCTTTGGCATACTTTTTCAAAGAAAAACGTCTATATCTCTGTGTTTGAGACAAAGATTGAGGAAAATGGAGAGAAATAGAGAAGCTTTCCAGACGCGCCAACTCTACCTGGCACTAACCACGCCCTACCAACACCATTGAATTTCTCTTACCTCGTTGATGTCATTTTATGACAGTTACTTTTTAGCTGATAAAATTTTAAAAGGGCTTTGTTTTGATGGTATTCGCAAAAATGCAATTTGATATTTTATTTGACTGCGCAAGCCGAAAAGGCCTCTTGTATTTTGATGTAGGTGTGCGACCAAAATTCGGTTCTCCCCAGATTCAACCACTTGCGGGTAGACGCAAGAACGTTTGATTTAAACAGATATATAAAGCGATCTTTTTCCTTTATTACGTTTTAATTGCTCAGGGTTATTCCGAAAAAAATGATTATAATTTAGTAATTTGGATGACGACGGGTTAGTTAACTCGGCGTCAAAGATGAGTTGTTGCGGAATAATCCGAATTTCTACGAAACCCAAGGTTGTTGTCTCTTCCAACTTGTTCCTCAAGTACTACCGCGGCATGTAATGTAGTATGTTCCATTAAAATATGCTGATTTAACTTGTTTTTAGAATACAACATTTGGCATAGTTTTGGACATCGATGGGAGTAAAGCTGCTGCAAAGCGGGTAAACTTTATGATTTTATCTAAAATGCGCTACCTTTTTTCTTGTATATGGTTTTGCTTATAATATTAAAAGAATAAAAGCATACGTTTATTCGCCAATGCTTTATAAAAAAGAAATCTATCTATCTAATCTAAATTTTTATAAAAAAGTTTAGCCGTGATGTTCTCCCATGAGTCCCCGATGCCGCCTTATAACAGATGAAAAGGGCAACTTTAAAATTCCTACACGGTAATTAGTACTTTCGTGGCTTTGATTGACTATTAATTTGGGTTTCTTTTCTGACAAACGGTTCAAATTCTTTACGGCAGCTATATGGAATTCACCTCACAGCATTTAAAAGTTGAAGTGAGTTTTTTGATCGACTTTTTATTCGACTCCTTTTTTGGTTTTTTTGTGCAAACCAATTGCTTAGATACGAGCTCAACAAGTCGTGATGGCTCACAAGTCCTTTGCGAATGTTCACACAATACCCACGATAAGAAGGTGCTTGTGGTAAGTCTTTGGTACTGGGTGGCTGCATAAGCGAAATAAATTTAGGTAGACAAGGTCCTGTTAACACACTTGCTCAAAAGTAAGCATCTAACTATTTATTAGATTAATTGTACATTTTAGTCTTAGCTCCAAGCAAATCATACACCTTGGATGATTTGGGCACGCTTTTCCCAAATCTTGATTGTGTCGATTTCTCGAGAAGAAAATTTGATGAGCTTAATCGTCTCGGCATCCGCCAGAAGATTCCGGACCGATTGAGGGTAAAGATACTTGGGTGCTTTTTTATAACGAGTAGACGTTTAGCTATCGTATTGCTTGGTGAACCTCTTCATATGGGAATCTGCACTTCAGCTTTTGCTTGATGTTTTGACTACTGGTGGTGATCCAGGTATTTTTTTAAAACATCGCTTCAAAGGCAATAAAATCAAACGTATTACATGTGATACGATACTTTAGCCAGTCTTCAAATACAAACGCGGGAGCATTCAATATCCAAATTTACCACTTCTCGTATGTAACGCTGATATGGTTTGGATGGCGGAAAAGGGAGAGTAAACTTACGCTAAGGTAAATTTTGAAGACTTTCGAGAATCTAACGACAGGAGCTTCCAGAATTGGGGCAATGGTAGTTTCCTCTGACTTGCCTTGAGGCGATGTATGGAAAATTAACGGGAAGGGATCTTCGGTACACGGTGAGCTCAAAATGAAATATTTAGCTTACGCTTTTTTTACCACCACGCTTTTATTTAGGCTGTTTTGGGTAAACCAAACGAGGTTTCTGAATTGCAAGCTACGCATTGCTTACAAGATATGGCTAACGATCTCGCAACAACCCCCACCTAAAGCGGTTTACGTAATTGGGTAATTTATTTTTGGATTTAAACCGAATCATAAAAATTTAGAGATAATCCGAGGTCTGATATACTTGGCTCATTAACTCCCTTTATAATCGTTACTGCAACGACGGAGGGGAAGGAAGGTGAGCACTTTTTTGGATATTCTGCATGGAACGTGAATGTAAACGTTTTGTATGCAACTGTAAGGGCAAATCTTGCATGCAGTTTGCTGATTTGACTCAAAGTTTCGATTATACTTATGTTTTAGATGAAACATTTTGGACGATAGGTCTCCAGCGCTCGTGCCCATTCGACCTTTGTCAACTTTCCCATCTTCAGTCATCTAGCTGAAGAAGTAAAAGCGGAAAGTACTGAAAATCACGGTGGTAATACTCTACCGTCGTCAAACTCTATAAAGCCGGCCCTCAACTTCTCCAATATTTGTCACAACGGGGTCTCCGCAGGGATGGCGAGCCCACAGCTGAGGTACCCTGGTCCGTCCTAACACGTTCTAACTAATCCCCCATATGCCTCTAACTATGATAGCTTTGAGCTTGGTAGTGAATGTATGGTGCTTGGTTAACCGCTTATTTGCTATACCGATTAAACCGCTCATATAATTAATTTTAAAAATATGCTTTTTAGATTTGATCATTAAAACCTTGGATACACTCGAAGATGATGGCCCGGTCTCGCAACGGACGCGAGAAAATGTAGACGGAATAGCACTAGTGTTTTAGTTGGTGAGATTTTTTATTTAACCTTATCCTACAAAATATTATTATTTAGAAACCGGTGCTTATCGCGAGGGTTGCAAGATTAATGGAACTGTAATGCCGATCAGTAAACTTGTTCAAGAACTTTCCAGTCAAGGAGCGTGAAATGCTTTGGAGGTAATGGAAATACACAAGTTGCAAACAGATAATTTATATTTTTTTCAGAAACCCGATTTTGTGGAGATGGACCTTTATCCAGTAATTCGAATGATCAAGAGCATCAGAGGTAGTGGAGGGATTAAAACAATTTTACTTAATAGAGACTCTAGTCAAATGGGTTTAACTTCTAGCGGCTGATTGAAAAGGAGGACTGTTATGAAGTTAAGTTAATCGCATTGTAACTTTTTGCAAGCATGATAGAAGACTTGAACTTGTTTTCGAATGATAAATTGTGATAAACCATACATAAAACCGAGGCATCGATACAACGCGCATGTGGATAAAGAAACTTCGAGAATTTAAATCAAGAGTACAAATTTGCGTATAAGAAATCGATTCGATTTGGATGGGTAGCAAATGAAAAGAACGTGATTTTTGCTCTTCATTTTCAGTTTCATCTATTTTTCTAGTTCTTTCCTATAAGCTGCGGATTTTGTGAAAGTTTTGATCTTATATTTAACTGTTTATTTTTGGCTTTAGAAAAATGACGGCTCACCAATTATGTGAATACTTGTCAAAAGGGTGATATTTGCTGTTAGTATATAGTTAGTATTTGGGGAACGTTAAAAGCTCAATGGTTGATCTCCAGATTATTTTATTGCTATTTCTGTTTTTAGACTCGCTCATACTTGTGAATACGCATTTGCACTTTGGGTGGCGGGAGACATTTTGCAACAGTTGCTGCATAAGGAACGGATAGCTTCCGGGCGATCCAACGAAATTGTGGGATAACAGTCCGAACTGCCAGGTAAGGAGACTTAAAAGTGTTAATACGTTCTTCGTTTTGTCCAGAATGGCTTTAATCGGATTTTTGCAAGAACCCAGGCTTGATTTTCTGTATCGGTAGATGGACTTTAATGTTAAATACAGGCTTTTTTTTGTCTGTTTTGAAATCTCAACTCTTGTGATTCAGAGACGGCGGTTTGACGATAGTTTTGTAAAAGGTTTCCCTTGATACCGTTACGGCACCACCTAGCGCTGTCAGGCACTACCATTTATGGAGCCGAGTTCTTTTGATATTTTAGTAATTGCAAAATCTTTCATTTCAAGTACCAAATTTTTATTGTAAAAGCTAAACATTTAAAAGTGATACTTCTATTGTTATAGACTGTTTTGCTTGGAAGGGAAAACAGTGATCGAAACTCTGTGCGAGTGTTGCACCAAATTTCGTCCTTGACGTGTGCACCTGGCCCCCTTCCAATTCATCAACTTTTGGCTGGGTTTTTTTTATTTTCACACATTTTAATAGATTAAGAACTATTTTTTTCAGATGTTTGTCCCATTAATGGCGATCCTTTCATCCAAGTAATTTCCACGAATGTCATCCAAGTAATTTCTTTCATTTTCCTATTTTGCATATATTCATCTTTTTTAGCTTTGCTATAACACGGTGATGTCCTACATCGAACACCCACGATGATAAGTTTTAAGCCTTCCTCTTAAAAGAAAAATCTTGAATCTTTATGGGGATTTCTATTCGAAATCATACAAAAAGTTTTGCAAGTACCTAGGGAAAAAAATACTATGATATTGAATCAAAGATGTAAAATGGTAATTACCTTTCACAAATCACAGTTTTTAATTGTCGCCCTATTTGCTATAATGGGTACTTGATTCTTTGAGATGAAAATCTTTTTGGAATATAGTCTTGAATAGCTTCCCTGTTTTGAATAGGGCAGGTCTAACTGAATCACATCCTTTCTCCTTGTAAATATGAATTGTAGTCAGAATTGTAGCATGACTAGATTATGATGCTAAACAGAAAACTGGAAATATATTCCTTTTGACGTAGTTTCTCTCTTTACTTCTTAAAAAGTATTCAATCGAAATATTGTATTCTTAATTTAGCGAGAATAATTTGTTTGTAAAGTTCGGACATTTAAACTCCCATTATCATCTTGACTCCATCTTTGATTAAGTCCTAGTAGTCGTTGTGAACCCTCATTAAGTCAGGCAAAAAGCAAAAATCTCGAGGCTAGATTACGATAGTTTTGAAAAATTGACGTTTTCTCAAATCATTTAAAAATAGTTTAGAAAATGCATTATTTAGTGGAAAACCCTTAATACCTAGTGAAGTCCTATTTTTTGAGAGTTGGTTCAGAATTGTAGCTAGATCCCTAGCTGTTTTCAATGGATTTGTACGAGGTCACGTGTCACCCTAAGATACGTATTTGAACTTACCAAGTTTCTGCTGGGTTTTGAGAATTGTCTGCAAAATCTTCCCTCCACTCACCCTGTTGGGTGTCGCTTTCTGTGTTCTTTTTTTCAACGGACGTCCCTAATTTGAGTGCACAAAGTCCTCAAAGAAAACCAACCGACTCAAGCGCCCAAAAATGAGATTCAATTCGAGTTGTTCCCGGATTCAAAAAGAAAAGAAAACGGATTGAAATAGAAGGGAAGGGAATCTTTTCTTCCTCACAGGGAATCCGGGGATTTCGCTGCCGCATATTTTGGACAAAATCGAACAATTGACCGCAGAGGGAGTTTGTGTCCGGCCCACACTCATTGGATATGTTCATGATCATTCGCATACCCCCTATTTCGGCTTATCATCTTTCATCTAGAGCTGCATTGAGACTTACTGCTTATCGTTAGTGCAAAATAAGAAAAGGAATAACGGTAAAAAGACGCCACAAATTTCAGATATTCAATGCATCCAAAGGCTTCTATTTGACACCAACTTTTTATAGGAAATCTCTCTAATCTTTTATTTCTTTTGCCTTTTGATAAAATCGAGTGAAAAATAGGGAAGAATTACGTTAGAAAAGCATCGCCAAAATGGGGAGTGGGACAAATGCGACCTTTTTTGGCGCATTTTCTTCCCACCTTGCCCATTAGCGCACCTTTTTCGGGTTTTTAAAAAAGCTCTAAAAGCTAATATTAACCAATTTCTATTCCAAGAGTTGTTTTTCTAGGTAATTTGAGGGTGTCGAACGCAAATTTTGACATAACAGAGCGTGTGGAACCAATTCGAAAGACAAAACGGCTAGATAAAATTACAGAAAATTGTCGATCTTTCTCTTTGTATAACTCCGTCCGTTTGTTTCCACACGCTCTGTTATGTCAAAATTTGAATTCGACACCCCTCAAATTACCTAGAAAAACAACTTTTGGAATAGAAATTGGTTAATATTAGCTTTTTAGAGCTTTTAAAACGCGAAAAAGGTGCGCTAATGGGCAAGGTGCGGAAAAAGGTGCGCAAATGTCCGGTGCGCGCAAAAAAAAGGTCGCATTTGTCCCACTCCCCCAAAATGCTCAAAAATATACCGTAATCTTTTCAGCGGTCTTTTTCTATTTGGCACGAATTTTCTCGAAAACAAGTCTAGGTAATTTTGTATTTTCTTTTCAAATCACAAACTCTATCACGTATCTTCACTTGTTTTCCCATTTGTTTTCCCATTTGTTTATCCTCTAGAAATTATTGCTCTTTGCTGCTATTTTGACGTGAATTCGGTGAAAATTTGTTTTTTTTCCACATCCAATTCAACCCCATAATCAACGCCGGCTCATTAGGAATCTCTCGTGGGGATTGGAGTTTTGAAGAGACTTTTGATAATATTTGGAAACCATTGCAAACTCCGCTCTGCTGATTTTTGGACTTTATTAAGATATTTCCTAAAGAATTGAACTTGCTTTATCTCTTTTTTTTCATAGATTTCACTACAAAGTTTGGTGCTTAATAGAAATTACTGTAAAGAATTCAATCACAATCAGAATTTAGAAATGTGTCTGTGGTTTTCTATTTCAAAATAAATTTACGCTAACACGGATAAAACGGACTTATTTTACTTTTTACATTTCGATCTTCGCGAGTTTTCCCCTCTTTGGTCGATAATTGTCGTGCAGATTTTTTCCGGGTCTTTCGGTGGGTGGATATCTTCTCAGTTGGCCTCCAACAACCACTTGTCAACATAATGAGAGTGGACATGTTGGTGGGTGGGTTGGGGAGAAGAATTCGATGAAAGGATGGGAAATTCTGAATCTTCGATGGGATCAAGTGATGTGCACTCATCCCATCGCACATCTGCCATCATTCCAATAAGTTCATAAAAACCATGAGCATAAGATGTTCTCCATAGCATAAGATGTTCTCCATATCTTCATTCTTTCAATCCCAGATAACTGATTCCAGCTACCGAAATCCGCTCGTTTATATGATCTTTTATTGGAACAATTGGAATTGGAATATTCACAATTGGAACATTTTTGTATCCTTTGTGGACTAGCACAAAATACTAATCGTAGATTATACAAAAACTAGAGCAAGCAACTAGAGCATTAAAAGTTGTTGACTTTAAAAAGCTTTAAAGAAGTGACATGTTTTATAAGCTTGATCAAGCGGAGCACACTTCTAGTGTGCTTGAATTCAAAATAGTGAGCCATGGTGAGATCTATGATTGGTTTTTTGACTGTTAAATCAAACAAGGAACTGGGAAGTGAATCAATTTGACAAATGAAGAAAAAGCTATGTGCAGCGAAGAACCCTGTCCCAGTCTCTTTACCCTTTCACCTCCCCATTTCCACCATCACCAAATCCCTCTAATAGGTGGTGGGGCGCAAAATTCGCTTCCCAAGTCGTCTTCCCATTTTCTTTCAGGTCTTCATTTTCTCATTTACCCTTTCACAATTGGAACATTTGAACAAATTCATTTCATATTCTTTCGCGAACACAACAACTGGGGTAGGCTAGTTTCCGCAATTTTTTTTCGCGCAACATGGTCATTTTGCACAACAGGGTCGTTGGCGCAACGCCATAACTTTCTTCCAAGGGGACCAATCTTTATGATTTTGGTTTCATTTTGTAGATCTCAATAAGTGCAACAAAATGAAATCAAAATCATAAAGATTAGCCCACTTAGAAGAAAGTTATGGTGAGTTGCGCAAATGACCCTGTTGCGCAAAAAAAATTGCGGAAACTAGCCTACCCCCAACAACTAGATGTCAAAATAGTTTCCTGATCTTTTAAAATACTTCCAAATTGGGATCACTAAATATTTTGCACCTGTTTTAGGGGATATTGACCGCGCAAGAAAAAAACGTTGATATTTTTTGGTAGACACAGCGCTTCACCTGTCTTTTCCCCTCTCACCTCTTTCCTTATCCCTTCTAAAAAAAGGTTCATAATATTAATAAAGCTTGATATTTAATTTTGGCCCATTTTGTGGCTGGTACAATTTATAAGTAAAGTTTAATCAAAGATACTGCAAAGTTACGACAGTCTGTCTCATTACAGTATCCCGGAAAAGTTGCTCAATGCAAACCATGTCTGTATTTCATTTTTCAACTGAAGCTAGTGCTATTTTTACAGCTTAATAAAGATAGTCTGTCTCATTACAGCTTAATAAAGCATACTGTAACAGAACTGTAACTACGATACCTTAAACATCTTTTAGAGTTGAGTTTTGTGATAATCTCATAGTGAATTTGGTATAAGAGTGAACATATTGTTGTATTGCCATTAATGTATTCGTTTTTGGGTGTACAAAATGGCTTGTAAAGATTCATGTGCTTTTTCTGATTGCTCAGTATTACTTCAAAAAAATTTCCAGCTTTTCCTCGACGCATGAGACTTTTGTGGTGTCTGCTGATCGAGGAGAAAGACTCAAGTCTGTGCGGATATCGATTAGCGAATAGGTTTGCTTTGAGATAATATCTACTATATATAAAGGAACTAAGACGTCTGTCTGTCTAAATTTTTAAAAAACCAAAAGTGCTGACGTGGGCGGGAGTCGAACCCGGGTCGTGTGGGTTATAGACAAGTGCGCTCGCACCGCGCTACCCACTAGAGCATGGCCGAATGGTTAGCGCACGCGTCTTTCACGGAAGAGAGAGGTCGCGGGTTCGCCTCCTGTCGCCGCAAATTCTTTTGCTTTTTGCTGCGAAGCTTCTGGTTATACTTTTTAATGAATACTAGATAATGTAAATTGTATGAATAAAGCAATGCTGAATATTGATGAATAGAAAAAACAATTTACAGGCAATTAGCCGTTATCTTCACCCTTTTCCAACTCTCCGTTGCCCTTGCCTCGTTCTTTCAGGTAAAAGAGTCAAAAGTTTTTCTCAAAGCATTCCGATTCCAGCATATTTTCTCCATTTACCACCATAATCATATCTTCCTGTGTAAATCGAATATCACATATGAAACAGCTGATTTCGAGGTGAGAAAAGAAGTTCGAGAAAAAAAGGGAAATCTCGAGTTTAGACGAAATTCTTGTCCTACGACATAATGATTTTCGATTTCGGCTTGATGCGGAGAGTGCTCGGGACGACGGAATGTGTGGCAAACTATTTAGGTGAGGAAAGGAACTTGTACAACAATAGCCGTATAGCTAATAATAGCTAAAAGAGCTGTATCAGATCCTCTAATATAGATTTACTCAATCACTTTCAGATGGCGGCTACATGCGCTTCGCGTGGTGTTTCCAGCACGTCTCAGCGCTGAGCCTAGCGTTGATGGCTCTCCTTTGTTGCCCGCGACCGATTTGGTTGCTTTGGCCGGGTAAATCTTTTGAAAAGTCACCATTCAGCAGACGATTTCTCATATGTTTATCATTGTACCACAGTAACCTCCAATAAAACTACACTAACCTCCAACAATACTACAGTAACCTCCAATAAAACTACAGTAACCTCCAACAATACTACAGTAACCTCCAATAAAACTACATTAACCTCCAACAATACTACACTAACCTCCAACAATACTACAGTAACCTCACAATAGTCTTCCGCTTTCAGCTCTGATGATGCAATCGTCATACTCTCTCGGAATGTCCATTCTCACCATGGCCACTGCACCGAAAATTCTCGAGGCTTTGAGTAATCAATTGCCAATAAACGAAAACCCACTCAAAATTTCAGGTGGTATCGTCGATGTTCAATTGGCCACCTCATTCACTTTTTATATTGGCGGCTTTTGTTTGAATTGGTTATTCACTTTTGTACTCTGGCATCACTATTGGCATGTGGAACACCGAGAAGAAAGGAGAAATAAAGTGGACAGGGAGTGTCGAAGGTTTGTTCGTTCACAGACGTCAAATGCAACATAATCATACATCATGTGCAGAGCCCGTAGCTTATTATCAACAATTTGGATATGCAAATATACCTACTAGACATGGGGAAATTCCAACGCGAACCTAATTCCACCTCCATTTTCTCTGCCGTTTCTTCGCCGATTGCTCTGAAATTTTGTCTACAAGCAGAGAATGCCAATTTCTATTTGTAAGCAAAATTTCAGAAAAATCGGCGAAGAAACGGCAGAGAAAATGGAGGTGGAATTAGGTTCTCGTTGGAATTTTTCAATGTCTAATACCTATTACTGTAATTACACACCTTCATGTGTCAGTAAGTCAGTAAAGCCAGAGAGGCAAATAATAGATTTTAAGTAATCGAGTCTAACATTGCTTGGGGCAAATAAATACTGACTGAGGCCTGGCCTGGCCTCTAATTATCATTAACTAATCTCGAACTGATCCAATTGGTTCTAAAGCATGAGCTTTTACATATAATTCTTTGCAGAGAATTGGTCGGCTCGGATGGCGAGGAAATCGATGACGATAATCCCCATCCAGAATTTGTCTGAATGCGAGCAAAACTTTTTTTTCTACTATTTTGTGATTTTTGGAGAACAAACGAACAAAAAATCACTTCCTCGTTTATGTCATTTCACTTTTTTTTGCCAAACGGGTCTTTTATTGGGTTGGTGAATTGAAAACTGCCGGCTATTGTCATATGTGACAGTTTGAGCACTTTCTTCAAAAAAAACCCATTTTGGTGTCAATGGAAAAGTTGTAGAGAATCAAAAATTAACTTTTTATATCCAAATTTTCAGAATGATTCAAAAACTGGTTTTCAAGAAATACCAAATTTACGAATTTTCACAAAACTTGCATTTTAAGCGAAACTACTAAGTGTATCTTTTTGGAAATTTGGCTATATAAGCCTAATTTTTGATTCTCTTACAACTCTTCTATTGACACCAAAATGGGTTTCTTTGAAGAAGTGCTCAAACTGGGCTGATTACTGACATCTCCAGTCCTCCATTTTTGAGTCTCACACTTGTCTCACACACAAACCAAAATCCTACCACGAAAGAGAGGAATCCGCAAATTGCCTTTAAAATAGGCAGAAGTCGTCGAATAATAATGGAAATTATTTGGAATGAATTTGTGTTTTATGTTAATAAGAATTTTAGTTCAAAGTCCCGCAGTTTTCAATTCACCAACCCAATAGTTTTATTTCAAATTGAATTTTGATGAATCGCTTGTGCGTGGATAAAGCTGAAATTCGTGCAATCAAACGCTTTCAACATTTATTGAGTTTTCAGAGAACAAATTTTGAGAGATTTTGCAGGAATTGAAAGGAATAATTCAGACTAATGGATACAGAATTCATGCAAAAAAAAGAGTTGAAAAAATGGAGAAAAATGGAGAGCACAAATCGCGTGTTCCTTTTTCCCCATTCATTCCACTCTCACTCAACTGTTTGAATTAAAAGAATCACTTGATTAAAAACAAGTTTCTCTGAATTAACTTTTGATTGATGTATATGAAAGTAATTTAAAGATTAGAATTGAATTTTTGAATTTAATTAATCGATAGTTGTAGATTGGAAATCCAGTATTTCATAATGTTTATAATCCCGTTGTTTTAAAATAAGAAAGAGTTTTCAAAGTTGGATTTTCAAAAGTAATTTTTCCCTGTTAAACCCACTGGCATCACCTCGTTAGCACAATGGTTTATTATGAGAATAAAATGCAATGCCAGTAACAAATAGCTTAACGGCAATTAACTATGGATCAATTTTTGATCAGTTTTAGACAAAACACAATATTTCCATATACTTTGAAAGAGTCTCATTTCAGTATCTCTTCTGAAAAAGCTATTCAAATAAGTCATTTCATTTCCCCAACTTGTTCTTTTTTATGCAAAAAAAAAACTGATCTTTTCTAGTAAAAAGTTGTTGATGAAAGCCCTCAACATCTTCTCCTCAACATCTTATCTCAATATCCACTAGAAACCTTATTATTTCTTCTTTTTCCTTTTGACTCTCCTGTTCTAGCATTTCCAAGAACAAGCTTTTTTGATTTCCTTATCTCTTCTTTCGTTTGCAGCTTTTTGGAAATGATTTTTTTCCTTGAGTTGAGTGGGATTCTCCTGATTCTCCTGATCCTGACTCCTCCTAACTCTCCATTCAAATTGAAGATCCTTTTCGAAAGATCACAACAATCAAAACAAAATTTCTTAGATTTCTTACCTTATCGAGTAATGTAAATTATGATAATAGACGCTTCCAGGTGCCTCCTGAGAACGCACTCTAGCTAGGACAGTGAAATAGTTGAGAAAGCATTCCCTTCTATTAGAATATGTTATACTTTATTTCCTACAGTAACCATTCTAATCACTTGCCCAAAGCATTGAAAGCACCTAGATCAAGGGAAAACTGCTGAACGAACCCGATTCTCTGATCTGATTCCACCCTTCTCATCTCATCTTTCCATTCCGGAGTATTCTCTCTTTAAATTGATCTTTTTCTTTTACTCAACCCTTTCCTCCGCCACCCCTCAAACATTTATTACTTTCACATCGCTGGGAAAAACTTGATTATTACTCTCTCCTTCATATTTTTTTGATTTGTGAGAGTGTCTATCTAAAAAAGATAAATTCTGGACACTCCTTTCAGATTTTCCCAGGATTTCTCTCGATTCAAGCATAAGATTTTGATCCTTTCATCTGTCAGAACTTTCTTACTTTCTTTACAATGAAACTTATTTAATTTATTAGGCTGTTCGGATATAAACGAGCGTTTTAGTCGTTGACAAAGTTTATCTTAAAAACAGAACACAACACAGTTTAATCCAAAATATATTTACCATTATTATTGATTACCTCTTGCCATCCTTTGCGCAAAGAATTGATGCCGCTCTTGAAAAACCCAGCCGGCTGTGACTCGAGAAACTTGGCGATGTCCGGTGGGGATCAAAACCCATGAAGATGTCCAATTTTGGACACCTTCACGGGTTTTGAATTTCTATTAGCCAAAAAGTTTTGCATCAACTGGAATCAATGGTAATCTGAGGGAGCCAAACGGGGAGTATAAACGAGGAGAATCGGGATCGGGAGAATCGGGAGAATACGGCGGATTTTAGTAGAATTTCCCATCCTAAAACTCTCCAGTTTTTGCTGGGTGATTTTTGCAACGTGAAGTTTTATATCCGAACAACCTAATAGTAATTCAAAGATAAAGATTCTATAATATAAAGATAATTCAAAGACTTCAAAGATTCTATAATTTGCCAAGCTTATAATTTGGTAAAGAATAGGTTTGCTTTAAAAGCTACCTTACTGTAACGAATCATTTTTGAAAAAGCTTTAATTCGTTAAGAATTTTAGAAAAAGTAATAGATATATTGTATCCTTCTACAGCTTCCATTGTACTGTAACGTACCACAGTATTGTCTGGTCGACCGAACTATACTGTAGCTAGGCATTTGACAGTATATCGGCAAGAGTTTTCGAAACTGTACCCACATAAAGTACGGTATACTGTACTAAAACTGGACATTCCTGGTTTCTTTTCCTTAATCGATCATTTCCTCGATCAAATCATGACTGACCTATCAATTTATCCCTTTAAAACATATTAAACTCACAAAAAAGACTTGTGGGAAAATTCTGAAATCACAATTCAACTCTTCGCCCAACTCATTTCTATTATATTTTCAATATTTACAGTTTTTATTTAACAATTATCATTTGTTATTGCCGTTTCGAAAGCAAAAAAAACACTCACTTCTTATAGGGGTTTCAGGTCAAAAAAACGAGTCAACCCCTATCTACCTCAGAGATTACAAAGCCGATTTGCCCACATCATGATTTGCCCACTTTCAATTTTGCTGTTTTCCTCGGATTTTCTAGTTTAACCTTTTCTTAGAGAGATTTCGAAAAAGTTGTTCGAAAATCCACCTACAAAGCTTTGTAAGCCGATGTAAAATGTTTTGCTCAAATTTTTTCGTGATCTTCTTGTCTTCCTCACTAGTGAGTTTTCTAAAAAGCAAATATTTCAGAAAACTACCGTTATTAAGCTGCCAGTTTACATTTGATCAGATCAATTTGATCATATTCACAAGACAAAGTCGATCACATCGGTGATTGAATGAAAACTGGCGACTTGATTGACAATCAATCAATCAAGTGACTACGAGAGTTTTCCTAAAATATGCTCCTTTTTTTGGAGCATATCCTTTGCTCCAGAGCTCTTTCCAGTTTCCCCTAGTTTATGGAGATTTTGTGAGAATGAACGAGAATAGTTTTTTTAACTAATTCTTAAATAAGTTTTCCGTTTCGAATCCAATCCCAATTCATTTTCTTTATTGAGCAACGGCAACAAATCACTCATTTTATTCTTTTATGCTTTTTCTTGATTCAATTTACTAATTTATTAATTCATTATCAATTTATCAATCAATTTACTCATTATTTTAATTTCAATTTTACACAAATAATTACAACCGACTTTATTTTTCGAAACAAAAGCTTTCTTTTCTCTTCTTCACAGTCTACGTGACCAGAGCTTTGTCAAAATTTTTTTAGAGTAAATGAGACACGTGTCCGTGTTGTTATTGGTGAAAAGAAAAAGGAGAGATTCGGTAAAGATGTTAGACTGATAGATGAGTTGCTTGGAGTGGGAGAAGAGGTGCGAATGGATGTCATCAGGATAAGTATCCCTCTTTGCAATAGAGACAGAGAAAGAATTTTGATGAAAACGTGAACTTTTCTTTGAACTCTTTCCTTTCTTTTTTTTTCTTGATTTTTAATTTCATCAAAATCTCTTTGCTATTCACATTGTGAAAGAAGAAAAGCCAACGAGCAAATGCATTTATTTCAGTTTTTCTGGACTTCTTAATAAAACAATAAAACAATAAAATTAAGGTAGAAGTTTGCAGAAAATATTTATCGGAGACTTTTCTCTCAATTTGATTTTGAGTCTAATTTCAATTTGATTTGATCAATTTGTAAAGTTAAGAGTAATTTTTGGTGCCGAATATGGATATGAGAAATGTGCTTTGAACAGTTTTAAATGCCAGTTTTTCTTTTTTTTTTACTTTTTTTTTGCTCTATTTGTAGAAAAATGTTAGATTTTGATGAAGAAGCATTGAGTAAAGTTGTTTTATTTTATAGAAAACTTGGCCAACAGTATTAGTATTAGTAGAATAGTAATGAAATTGTGAATGCGAATTTGAAATTCTTTAAACATCGATTTTTACGGAAAAAAGATCAACAAGTACCAAATTCCTTCAATTCACTTCAATTTGATGAAGAAGCATTGAGTAAAGTAGTTTTGTAAAATAAACATAACATAACATTTTAACATAAACCCGGCCAATAGATTCTACGACTCTGAAAACCCCTCACAAATTTACAGCTTAATATCTTCTTTTTGTACCATCTATTGGGTTGATGGAAAAGTCATTTCCGATTTTTTGGGAGAGTACCTTAAATTTGTCCAATTTTGACGTTTTATAGCTCATCCTAAAGCTGAATTCAAGACGGATCGATTGGTAAAAACCGTTTTAAGATA